CACGACCGCTGGATGACACCGGGAGCAACCTGGCCCTCTGGCTGCGACTAGTGCTGCCTCGACCCCTTCCTCTGCTGCCACGTCTGCTCGCTCCTAAAACATTGCCTCCTCTGCCACTCCTCTGCATGTGTGTCTGACATACTCTTTAATTCAACGATTCTGTGTCCCTGAGTAACAATTCTGTGTCCCTGAGTAACAATTCTGTGTCTGTCCCTCAGTAACAATTCTGTGTCAATTGAGTAACAATTCTGTGTCCCTCAGTAACAATTCTGTGTCCCTCAGTAACAATTCTGTGTCCCTCAGTAACAATTCTGTGTCTGTCCCTGAGTAACAATTCTGTGTCCCTGTCCCTGAGTAACAATTCTGTGTCCCTCAGTAACAATTCTGTGTCCCTCAGTAACAATTCTGTGTCTGTCCCTGAGTAACAATTCTGTGTCTGTCCCTGAGTAACAATTCTGTGTCCCTCAGTAACAATTCTGTGTCCCTGAGTAACAATTCTGTGTCCCTGTCCCTGAGTAACAATTCTGTGTCCCTGAGTAACAATTCTGTGTCCCTGAGTAACAATTCTGTGTCCCTGAGTAACAATTCTGTGTCCCTCAGTAACAATTCTGTGTCCCTCAGTAAACAATTCAATTCTGTCCCTGAGTAACAATTCTTCTGTGTCCCTGAGTAACAATTCTGTGTCCCTCCTGAGTAACAATTCTGTGTGTCCCTGAGTAACAATTCTGTGTCCCTCAGTAACAATTCTGTGTGTCCCTCAGTAACAATTCTGTGTGTCCCTGAGTAACAATTCTGTGTCCCTGAGTAACAATTCTGTGTCCCTCTGAGTAACAATTCTGTGTCCCCTCAGTAACAATTCTGTGTGTCCCTCAGTAACAATTCTGTGTCCCTCAGTAACAATTCTGTGTCCCTCAGTAACAATTTCTGTGTCCCTCAGTAACAATTCTGTGTGTCCCTGAGTAACAATTCTGTGTCCCTGAGTAACAATTCTGTGTCCCTGAGTAACAATTCTGTGTCCCTCAGTAACAATTCTGTGTCTGAGTAACAATTCTGTGTCCCTCAGTAACAATTCTGTGTGTCCCTGAGTAACAATTCTGTGTCCCTCAGTAACAATTCTGTGTCCCTGAGTAACAATTCTGTGTCCCTGAGTAACAATTCTGTGTGTCCCTGAGTAACAATTCTGTGTCTGTCCCTGAGTAACAATGTCCCTGTGTGTCCCTGAGTAACAATTCTGTGTCCCTCAGTAGTAACAATTCTGTGTCCCTCAGTAACAATTCTGTGTCCCTGAGTAACAATTCTGTGTCCCTGAGTAACAATTCTGTGTCTGTCCCTGAGTAACAATTCTGTGTCCCTGAGTAACAATTCTGTGTGTCCCTGAGTAACAATTCTGTGTCCCTGAGTAACAATTCTGTGTTCTGAGTAACAATTCTGTGTCCCTCAGTAACAATTCTGTGTCCCTCAGTAACAATTCTGTGTGTCCCTCAGTAACAATTCTGTGTCTGTCCCTGAGTAACAATTCTGTGTCCCTGAGTAACAATTCTGTGTCCCTCAGTAACAATTCTGTGTCCCTCAGTAACAATTCTGTTCTCTGTAACAATTCTGTGTCCCTGAGTAACAATTCTGTGTCCCTCAGTAACAATTCTGTGTCCCTCAGTAACAATTCTGTGTCCCTCAGTAACAATTCTGTGTCCCTCAGTAACAATTCTGTGTCCCTCAGTAACAATTCTGTGTCTGTCCCTGAGTAACAATTCTGTGTCCCTGAGTAACAATTCTGTGTGTCCCTGAGTAACAATTCTGTGTCCCTCTGAGTAACAATTCTGTGTCCCTCAGTAACAATTCTGTGTCCCTCAGTAACAATTCTGTGTCTGTCCCTGAGTAACAATTCTGTGTCCCTGAGTAACAATTCTGTGTCCCTCAGTAACAATTCTGTGTCCCTGAGTAACAATTCTGTGTCTGTCCCTGAGTAACAATTCTGTTCTGTGTCCCTCAGTAACAATTCTGTGTCCCACTCAGTAACAATCTGTGTCCCTGTGTAACAATTCTGTGTCCCTGAGTAACAATTCTGTGTCCCTCAGTAACAATTCTGTGTCCCTGAGTAACAATTCTGTGTCTGTCCCTCAGTAACAATTCTGTGTGTCCCTGAGTAACAATTTCTGTGTCCCTGAGTAACAATTCTGTGTCCCTGAGTAACAATTCTGTGTCCCTGAGTAACAATTCTGTGTCCCTGAGTAACAATTCTGTGTCCCTCAGTAACAATTCTGTGTCCCTCAGTAACAATTCTGTGTCCCTCTGAGTAACAATTCTGTGTCCCTCCCTGAGTAACAATTCTGTGTGTCCCTAGTCAGAGTAACAATTCTGTGTCCCTCAGTAACAATTCTGTGTCCCTCAGTAACAATTCTGTGTCCCTGAGTAACAATTCTGTGTCCCTCAGTAACAATTCTGTGTCCCTGAGTAACAATTCTGTGTCCCCTGAGTAACAATTCTGTGTCCCTCAGTAACAATTCTGTGTCCCTGAGTAACAATTCTGTGTCCCCTGAGTAACAATTCTGTGTCCCTCAGTAACAATTCTGTGTCCCTCAGTAGTACAATTCTGTGTCTGTCCCTCAGTAACAATTCTGTGTCCCCTGAGTAACAATTCTGTGTCCCTCAGTAACAATTCTGTGTCCCTGAGTAACAATTCTGTGTCCTCTGAGTAACAATTCTGTGTCCCTCAGTAACAATTCTGTGTCCCTCAGTAACAATTCTGTGTCTGTCCCTGAGTAACAATTCTGTGTGTCTGTCCCTGAGTAACAATTCTGTGTCCCTCAGTAACAATTCTGTGTCCCTCAGTAACAATTCTGTGTGTCCCTCAGTACAATTCTGTGTCTGTCCCTGAGTAACAATTCTGTGTCTGTCCCTGAGTAACAATTCTGTGTCCCTCAGTAAACAATTCTGTGTCCCTCAGTAACAATTCTGTGTCTGTCCTCAGTAACAATTCTGTGTCCCTGTCAATTCCTGTCCCTTAACAATTCTGTGTCCCTGAGTAACAATTCTGTGTCCCTGAGTAACAATTCTGTGTCCCTGAGTAACAATTCTGTGTCCCTCAGTAACAATTCTGTGTCCCTCAGTAACAATTCTGTGTCTGTCCCTGAGTAACAATTCTGTGTCTGTCCCTGAGTAACAATTCTGTGTCCCTCAGTAACAATTCTGTGTCCCTCAGTAACAATTCTGTGTCCCTGAGTAACAATTCTGTGTGGTCCCTCAGTAACAATTCTGTGTCTGTCCCTGAGTAACAATTCTGTGTCCCTCAGTAACAATTCTGTGTCCCTCAGTAACAATTCTGTGTCCCTGAGTAACAATTCTGTGTCTGTCCCTGAGTAACAATTCTGTGTCCCTGAGTAACAATTCTGTGTGTAACAATTCTGTCCCTCAGTAACAATTCTGTGTCCCTCAGTAACAATTCTGTGTCTGTCCCTGAGTAACAATTCTGTGTCCCTCAGTAACAATTCTGTGTCCCTCAGTAACAGTAACAATTCTGTGTCCCCATCAGTAACAATTCTGTGTCTGTCCCTGAGTAACAATTCGTGTCTGTCCCTAAGTAACAATTCTGCCCTGTAACGTTTCTGTCCCTGAGTAACAATTCTGTGGCCCTCAGTAACAATTCTGTGGCCCTAAGTAACGTTTCTGTGGCCCTAAGTAACGTTTCTGTGGCCCTAAGTAACGAATTCTGTGGCCCTAAGTAACGTTTCTGTGGCCCTAAGTAACGTTTCTGTGGCCCTAAGTAACGATTCTGTGGCCTAAGTAACGTTTTCTGTGGCCCTAAGTAACGATTCTGTGGCCCTAAGTAACGATTCTGTGGCCCTAAGTAACGTTTCTGTGGCCCTAAGTAACGTTTCTGTGGCCCTAAGTAACGATTCTGTGGCCCTAAGTAACGTTTCTGTGGCCCTAAGTAACGTTTCTGTGGCCCTAAAGTAACGTTTCTGTGTCCCTAAGTAACGATTCTGTGGCCCTAAGTAACGTTTCTGTGGCCCTAAGTAACGTTTCTGTGGCCCTAAGTAACGTTTCTGTGTCCCTAAGTAACGTTTCTGTGGCCCTAAGTAACGTTTTTCTGGCCCTAAGTAACGTTTCTGTGTCCCTAACTCTCTCCCTCAATACAGACAGCTCTGCCTCTCTTGAATGACTGGAGGCAAATGGAGAATTCTAAAAATGGCCGCCATTTATAGCTCGACCATTACACAGTGCTGGCTGGCTGGCTGCTGATTGGCTAATGCGATCACATGTCATGAATGAATGCATTATGGGTCAGCGCGCGCCTTGTCTGCGCACCTTCCCAGACATCCCCGCTCTGTCGCCGCACATGTCGCCGCCATTTTAGGAAAAATTTCGATTCGCGCATCCGAAGTATGCTAAATTTTCGGATTCGTCGCGAACAGAAATTTTCCTAATATTCGAAACGAATTCCACTTCGCCTAGTTCGATTCGCTCATCTCTAATAATAATAGTACCCCAGCTTTGTGATCCCCTGCTCAGTAGTAACCTACAGCTTTGCTGATCCCCTGCTCAGTAGTACCCCCAGCTCTGCTGATGCCCCACTCAGTAGTAACTTCCAGTTCTGCTGATGCCCCACTAAGAATTAACCCCCAGCTCTGCTGATCCCCCACTCAGTATTAACCCCCAGCTCTGCTGATCCCCCACTCAGTGTTAACACCAGTTCTGCTGATCCTTTGGTTTGCTGATCTTCCTCTCTCTGGTCCCTCTCACTTTCTGCTATATTGCTCTCACAGTGCGCACAGTGTGGGACATTGCTAGTTTCTCCTGCTCAGGTCTGCTAGCTCTGCTGCTCCTCCGCTGCTAAGTCTTCTCTCTCTGGCCCCTGCTCATGTGCTATAGTATTCCCATATTGCACACCATGTGTGCTGTCTGCTAGTTGCCCCGCTCCAGTTGACTTGGTATCAGCATCTTGCAGTCCCTGTACAGCAGAGGTCTGACTGGTGGAGATAGAAACAGCACAAGGAGTCACTCATTTCTGTTGGAATGCAAAGAAGCATACTGATAGCATGTGAGAACAAAGTGACAGAGGGAAGAACCAGGGCGGACTGACAACTCATGGGGTCCCCGGGCAATAAGGGATCATGGGGTCCCTGTGTCCTTGCCCACATTCAAGAAAGCCTATAAAAAGGTACCTGGGGCATTTCATGGGGCCCCCTACTGACCCCGGGCCCTCAGGCAGTGCCGAAGTGCTCCAATGGTCAGTCCGCCCCTGGGATGAAGTCATCAATCTGCTGTTTTTCCTTTCAATGTTCAGTCACAGGCTAGGGCTAGGGGCATGGAGGAGACCTGTAGGTGCTACCAGGAGCGGACTGACCATGTGGGCACGTGGGCACTGCCCGGGGGCCCAGGGTCAGTAGTGGGCTCCATGAGATGCCCCTGGAACCTTTCATAGGCTTTTTCATAGGCTTTTTTGGGTGTAGTTTGAATGTGGGCGGAGGACACAGGAGCCCCATGATCCCCCATTGCCCTGGGGCCCCATGAGTTGTCAGTTGTCTGGGTGCTACTGAACTGAAGCAGAGAAAACTCAGGAGTCCAGACAGAATTTTGCTGTGTGGCAGAGCTGTGTAAATCTCAGTACTGGGTGGACAGAAATATAAACCCTTTGACAGGAAAAATAGCTCCCATCTACATTTATGTATTGTTGGGAATGCAACAGCATGTACTATAATGTACTATATATAGTATTTCTGTGTTAATATCACTTGACCAGTAGATGGCACTATACACTAAAGGTTACTAGTTGTGTATGTGTAAAACTTGCTGATACTTTCTTCTTCTCTATCATCTCTTCAGGAAGTAATGTGCTGTAATAAGTCTGCTGTTATACAGTCTGCATGAAATGTGCTCTGTATGTTTGTAACTTAAGCCACACAAGTAAAGCCTGAATTCTGCTATCACTACCAGTGTCTTCTATAACACATAACCAACATGTATTTCATCTGCATATTTAGATATTTTCCCGGAAGTCAGCGTTAAGCTTATTCCTTTCAGGTGTATGTATAAAATCATTAAAAGGATTAGTATTCCTCTTTAGTCAGATTTAACAACCTATACATTTCAAGATGCCGTTCTTGACACAATTGAATGACTCAAACACAGCACGGTATAAGCTGGAACATGTACATTTTTTCTGTTTAGGTATATATTGTTTGAAAGAAAAGCATTTATCTCTAAGAATTCTGCAACAAAGTGTTTTTCCTGCTACTTAAAGCGCAGGTGTGACATTTTCTGCAGAGAAAATACTTTTACAATTCTCTATTGCAGGAACCATTAGGCTGATCATGAACATTCTTTGTGTTCAGTGAAGAGTGCACCTGGACACTTTTTGTGCATCTCAGAAAAAATACTTATATTCTGCATTTTATGGCTTGGGAGAAGGGATGGAGGAGAAGGCAATCTGCTGCTGCTAGGTCACAGTTTTCAATCAGTCAGATCTGCAGGGAGCTGATTATAGAAGGGGTCAGCTAGTGCTATTATGCACGTTTGACATTGACCCCAAACTGTGAACCCGTCCAAATTGTTAGCACTTCATTCTAGAGTCATTTTTTAAAATGACATCCTGTATTTTCAGGTCAAATATTAACAACATATTCAGGAGGCTCTTATTCAAAGTAATCGAAGGGTCTATTCACAAGGCCTTTAAAAAACAGCGTTCAAATATGTGTTCTGCATACATCTGTATGCAACACCATACAAACTAATATGGCCATTCAGACCTGTGCATTTGTGGCCACTGTGTTTGGATCTAAAAAAAATAAAAAAAGCCGAGTTGAGTCCATACCTGTGAAAATCCTGCCTTTTTAACACACTCATGCATCTAAAAGTGTGTCAAAATGTCTAAATGTGTGTACAGTCCAACTGGTCCAGAGAGATGCATACAGAGGCAATATGTATGTAAACGCATTTATACACATGTCTAGATGCATTTGAACACGTGGCTGGTGCCAGCATAAGGCTGGTTAGGCAGCTCCATTAGGGCCCCAGGATGGAAGGTGGGGCAGTAATTTCTAGGGCCACTGATGAGTGGGTAACACCTGTACCAGGCCTGGGCCAGCAAAGGAATCAGATGTGAGTAGAAGAGGGGGTGTTTAGACCCCTGATATTTCACCAAAGCTCCCCCAACAGCATTGTGAAAAAATAAATTAAAACCATTACAAACTATATGTTTACCGCGCTGCTCAAGGTAGAGAGACTCCCAATCTCCAAGCACAACTCCTCCTGTAGGTGCTAGCCCAGCTTGTGTGCTAGATGAGAACAAAGGAAGTCCGATCAGCTGCACTCCAAACCAGGGGCGGACTGACAACTCATGGGGCCCCTGGGCAATAGGGGATCATGGGGCCCCTGTGTCCTTGACCAAACTCAAAAAAGCCTACGAAAAAGGTACCAGGGGCATCTCATGGGGCCCCCTACTGACCCCGGGCCCTCGGGCAGTGCCCGAGTTTCCAAATGGTTAGTCCGCCCCTGCTCCAAACAATCCACTTTATTGAACCAAGATAAAACCAATACAGACAGTGGAAATACAGTGGGGGACTGGCAGGTAAACAAATCTCACGCTTAAGACAGCACTTATTCATTATGAATGAGTAAGCGCTGTCTCTAGCGTGAAGCGCATTTACCTGCCAGTCCCCCACTGTATTTCCACTGTCTGTATTGGTTTTATCTTGGTTCAATAAAGTGGATTGTTTGAGTACAGCTGATCGGACATCCTTTGTTCTCAAAAATAATTTATAAGATCGTAAAAAAAAATTATTTAAAAGTTGTAAAAACAAAATAGTTAAAAATAATGTGAAAAATAATTAAAAAATAAAAATGAAGGACTCATTCACATGCATAACCTTGCCCTCTCATTACACACTGCTGTTTAGTGGCAGTTCAGCACAGCTCAAATTTTCAATGCTGCTTGACATCCTTCACACTGCACCCCACCACATTATGGGCACAACCTGAAGGAGGTACCAGCGCAGGAGGGAGGACAATTTGCAGTCTCTCTGTAGGGGCACTCATGTGGAGCACTCTCTCTCTCTCTGGGGGCAGTCATGTGGAGCACTCTCTCTCTCTGGGGGCAGTCATGTGGAGCACTCTCTCTCTCTCTGTGGGGGCACTCATGCGGAGCACTCTCTCTCTCTCTCTGGGGGCAGTCATGTGGAGCACTCTCGCTCTCTCTCTGTGGGGGCACTCATGTGGAGCACTCTCTCTCTCTGGGGGCAGTCATGTGGAGCACACTCTCTCTCTCTCTCTCTCTCTCTCTGGGGGCAGTCATGTGGAGCACTCTCTCTCTCTGGGGGGGGCAGTCATGTGGAGCTCTCTCTCTCTCTCTCTGGGGGCACTCATGTGAACTCTCTCTCTCTCTCTCTCTGGGGGCAGTCGTGTGTAGCACTCTCTCTCTCTCTCTGTGGGGGCACTCATGCGGAGCGCTCTCTCTCTCTCTGTGGGGGCACTCATGTGGGGCACTCTCTCTCTCTCTGGGGGGGCAGTCGCGTGGAGCACTCTCTCTCTCTGTGGGGGGCACTCATGTGGAGCACTCTCTCTCTCTCTTTTGCTGGGGACAGTCGCGTGGATCACTCTCTCTCTGTGGGGGCACCCATGTGGATCCCCCCCTCTCTCTCTGGTGGCACTCATGTGGAGCTCTCTCTCTCTCTCTCCACTCATGTGGAGCTCACTCTCTCTCGGGGCAGTCATGTGGAACACTCTCCCTCTGTGGGGGCACTCATGTGGAGTACTCTCTCTCTCTCTCTCTGGGGGCACTCATGTGGAGCAGTGTCTCCCTCTCTGGGGGCAGTCATGTGGAGCACTCTCTCTCTCTCTGGGGGCACTCAGGTGGAGCTTTCTCTCTCTCTCTCTCTGGGGGCAGTCATGTAGAGCACTCTCTCTCTCTCTCTCTCTCTGTGGGGGCACTCATGTGGAGCACTCTCTCTCTCTCTGGGGGCAGTCATGTGGAACACTCTCTCTCTCTGGGGGCAGTCGTGTGGAGCAGTATCTCTCTCTCTCTGTGGGGGCAGTCCTGAGAAGCAATCTCTTTCTCTCTGGGGGCAATCACATAGAGCACTCTCTCTCTCTCTCTCTCTCTCTGCAGAATTGCAAAACCGTGTCCACTGGCTCAGAGAGACAGAATATATCCCATTCGATAGTGCAAGACCCAGCATATGAAAACCGTGTATGTCGGTTCACAAAGAACGAGGATTAGCAATCCTCATTCTTTGTGAGCCAGCATACATGGTTTTGATACTCTGCAAGTTTATCACGCATACACTGGGGATCAGTATATCCATGGGTCTTGCACTATCAAATGGGATATATTCTGTCTCTCTGAGCCAGTGGACACGGTTTTGCAACGCTGCAGGGCTGTCCTGCAAATATGAGGGAGCACTATATCCATGTTTTTTGCAATAATAATGGGATGAATGACATAATTGGGCATATCTATCCTTGAGGTTCTACATATTTATTGTGCTAATACAAAGAGGAAGTGTGATAAGATCTGGATATTTAGATATTCCATGTGACCTGTGGTGTCGGCCTAGTGATTCGTATCTCCTGTTTTTTGTTGGGGGATTCCCCGATATTCATCGGGTTTACAATCTATCAGGTATAAAGAGGAGGAGGTATGAGATGACCTGGATGGTTACACACTTTATGTGACCTTGGGTTTTGCTCTTGTGATTCGACTTGGAGGGTCCGCTGTATGGGTTTGGCCGGCCCTTAGCCGTACAAGGAGGTATCTTGAAGAATCATGTCTTTTAATCAACTATTCCTTTTGCACTTTCATGTATTATGATGTCACCCATATGCAGAGTCCTTCTCTTTTCCCTGGGGAAGGAGTGATGTCACTCCAAAATGCGTTAGTTCAATCGCAATTTTTGTATACAAATGGTGACACCACAATATATTTTTATGGCCAGTCAAACACAGTCATACTGGGTATCCTTATGTTATTTCATATCCTGATGTTGATGCTTTATTATGACTCTGAATGATGCATTGTATTGTATGTCTATGTGTTACAACAAGTTTTTGACAAATAAAAGTTTGTACTTTTTTAAATACTTCCTTGGTATAATTAAGCCTTCAAAGTCCCAAGCCTTAGGGGGTCCTTTCCTTCACCTATATTGCTATTTTAGGGATGGTGACTTGCGATCAGGAACTTCCCCTTTTCTCCTTGCATATGTAATGTAGGCAGTGCAATATGTAGGTGGGGCTTTGTGTGGGTGTGACTTGAGTGTGGACAGGGACAAAGAGGGCCCCATGATCTGTTATCGCCGGGGGGTCCCATGAGTTGTCAGTCTTCCCCTGCACACTACTACACTGCAATCATATGCATTGGTTGCAGCAGGGCTCTTATAGACTTGGATCATGGTGGGTGGCAGTAATACCTGCTGAATGTTATTTCATTATGACATATTGTTTCATTTTTGCTGCAGCACGCCAAGTGTACAGCCCTGAGGGGCTGCATGTCAGCGTTCAAATGGGCAGTCAGGGGTGGGTGGTTAAACCTATGGCCCAACCACCCGTTCTACTGCCCTCTCCTGTGTGCAAAGGCATTTGGTACACACAAAGTGGATTTGTATCCTTTGTGGTTATTGAGGATTATATATAAAGAAAAGTTGCGATGTGGCATGCAATTTCAAATTTGAATTTGTAAAAGTCTTTATGCAGCACTCAGTGGTTCAATCCTATTTAAGCTTTCCAGAGTGCTTTAATGCCAATGTGCCGCATTTTATACAAAGTTTTCCCTCCTGCCCCTACATTTTGCCAGTGCTTAAAATAATGGAGGAAAACACATGACAGAGCAACTGAAGTAAACAAGTTCTACTTTAAAAGAAAAAAACTGCCTGGAGAGGCTACAGATTGGATTAAACGGTGAGCGCAGGTCGATGCTCACTCTATAATATCAGTTTTGTTTGGAGAAATACAGATTCTCAGCTGCGTTCAGGAAAATTGCTCCAGCTGTTCATGCTGAGTGAATATTGGTGGGGAAATTCCTTCCTCTATTTGTTTTTTTTTTTTTTTTGCCATAGCCTTAAACCACCAAGAGGCCCCAGCACTGACAGCCCATTCATCAGATGCAGAGCCTGTTGCCACGGCAACCCTTTAGTGTTCTCTCCCATTATCACAGGATCCATTGTAACCCTGCAGTGAGAAACAAAACACAAAATTATAAACATTGGCTTATTTATTAGCAAGTAGCAAGGGTGACATGCATATAAAGCAACCGTGACTCATATTTCTTTGACAAGTGGGCAAATAGCTTGGCATAGTAGAGTTAAAGCTGAACACCAGGAAAATGTCAAAACTACTCTTGCACTTGGGCTTCCACCACACGGCAAGGGTTAAGTGTCTGTTTTTGTCTAGGGTACAATTAAAAAGCAGTTTTACTTACTTATCCCTCACTCCGGCAAGCTTCCACCTCTGTGCAACCAGTCCCCAAAGCCACTTCTCTTTTGAATTTTGTCCATCGGTCACACTCTGATGTCACCATGATTTCTGCATGACGTGAGGATGACAATGGCTTCACACCCTTCCTGTCCTACGGTGACAACACTCATTGTACTGTATATATGAAGAAGTAGTGTTGCCACCCTAGGACAGAAAGTTTATTAGGACTACAGAATACCTCTCCCTCTCCTCCATAACACAGTAGAAGGTGTTCTGTAGTCCTCAAGAGGTGAACTGGGCCGGGCTGATAGCACTCTGTACAGGAGATACAGAGAGCACAGGATGTTATCAGCATACTGGATTAATGGCAGGACCAACCATTTTTTTAATTTTTTTTTTTTTTAAACAAATATAACAAAACACTTGGTAACAATGGTAAATTCCAACCAGGGTTCCTCCAGAGGTTGCTATGGGTTCCTTGTGCAATGAGCACTTTCTGCCTTTCGGATAAATTCACTTTGACACCATTGGTCCTTTTAACTATCTGTAAAGTGGTAAATCTTTCCAATGACCACAAGAGTAAGGAGCATTCTTCCCACTGACCATCACAATAATGTATAATGAATTGTAGATATAGTCATTTTTAGCAGGGGTTCCCTGAGACCAGAAAGATATTTCAAGGATTCCTTTGTGTTGAAAAGGTTGAGAAAGGCTAATTTAAACTGTATATGTTACCCCAGCATTTCATATTTCTGATATGTGTCTGTGTTATCATGTACTTTGTTAAAAAGTATCCTGTTCTCTTTGTATTGCTTCCTTTGTGTGAAATACCTGGTGATGCTGCTAATCCCTCTGAAAAAAAATTATAAAAACAAAGCTGTGCAAAAAGTGAAAAAGTGCAAATGTTAGCTGCTGGCAAAACAATCAGATCAATTGTGTACAAATCATATAAATAAATTGCTACTAAGGTATAACACTCAAAACAAGTGTATCACAAAAAACATCCAAACTGTGATCAAAACAGTCCCAGTGGTCTGTATATGTGATTGACCACCACGTGTCTTCAATAAAACTAGTGCTCCACTACTAAGTA